CTGGTTAATAGACGGGCTCGCGCGGTGGGAGCGTGTCGCCCAGCCAGGCAGTACGCAAGGACGTCCTGATACTCAAGATAATAATAAAACTTCCTTAATTAGAGAAGACCGGACATTTCTACGTCTGGTATTTTCTCAATTTGTTTCCTGGACAGAAAGTTCAAAAACTGGACACTTGGCAACCCTCGCCAGGAGGCCTCTGGCTTTGGACATTTGCGGGATGGCCACCAGCCTCGTCCCCCCCATACTCTGCCCCCAGAACACATGCCATAGGAATACCGGGTGTGGTGTGTTGCTGCTCCTGAGTGCCTGCCCTCCCCGTGCGCCGAGTGTTTTTTCATTAGGCTAATCAGGTTTGCAAGGCAAGGGGCAATCCCAAATGGTCCCAGTGAAAATATTACAGGTCCCTCTGGCCTATGTAAATACCCTTTCCAAAGAGTGCAGGGGGAAGCCTCCCCCCCTCCCCCCCAACACACACCCTGCCACTGGAACCTTCCTCCACTGTTCCTGCAATTTGCAATGGTCTGAAAAGAAAGGAGAAGTCATAGGAAGGGGGGAGATTTTTAAGTGCAATATTTTCAGTGAAGGCAGGTCATTCCCCTACAGCCAAGTGCCCCTGGTCTCTAATTACCGTCCCTCGCTCTTCAGAAAAGGAAGATAAATAAACAAGCTTCCCAGAGCATCGGAAAGAGCGATTGCGACAAAGAGGCTGTTTCCTCATCTGAATGTTTACCAAGCAGCAGGGCCCCCCTGAAAGGGACAGGAATTTCTGCCCTCTGAAAGAATAATGCTGTGGAGTGAAAGGTTTTGAGAGGCAGCAAAAAGAAAATGGATAATAAGCTGCACATTTGACCCCAGAAGATTTTTCCATTGATAGCAGGGGCTTCACTGGACACTGAGGGATCCCTAGATGCTGTACTACCACGCTATAAATCTTAGGGCTGAGAGCACCAAGGAGAAGTTGTCTCTCAGACAAGTCATCCTGGCATATTGATTAAAAATAAGGATTTTTGCATGGAAAAACCCCCCGTCCTGTCACCGATTCTGAATGACAGAAAAGACAAACGTAGCAAATGCTCGTTCCTGGCTCTTTGCTAGGTATACTGATGCACAAGCATAGCCAATAGTCCACACGGTGGCATCTTAACCAGATCACGGATTGCCCTGGGTTTCGCGCTTCGGCAGCCATACAAGAAGAGCTGGGATAAAATGTCGAGGCGTCAAGTTGAGGATGCAAATGTGGTAGCACGTTTATTTCATTTTCACCTGTACGAAAGGGCGTGGGATTTCCATCCCCCTCGCTGTCGCCTTTCCTCACCTGCCTCTATCTCGCTCCTGAACGGGGCATTTCCAGGCTGAACAGGTCCCTGACTTCACTGTGTTATTTCCAGCAAATGACAATTCAGCAAAACAGGCCTATTTTGCTTCCTCTTCAGAGACTGGTAGTGGTGCAACTTCAGTCAGTAATAAGTTACCAGACAGCGCTTTCCAAACATGCACATTTCTTCTCACAGGAAAGGCATTACAGAGCAAATATATTCAAATCACTAAAAGTGGAATCCTAATCAGTTTGCCAGAGATCAATAGAAAGGCTCCAGTTGATAGTAGTAGTAGTCCTTCTACCCCTGCTCTGGGATCCTTTGGGAACCAGCAGGGACGACCTTAGAATTTAAGGGGCCCTACTAAACAGGTGCACCTATGCTCAATGGTAGCTGGGGGAGGAGGGGCCGGGTAACAATGAGTTTTTAGAGATCTGATTTTACTCTTCAGCAACACACTAAAGAAAGTTTAAAATTTCCTTGAAAATATACGGTCCTGCCGACTAATGCAGTAAATTCAGAAACGGACAGTATATACGTGGCATTGGCAAGCAGCTATCAAATGGCTTCATTACCACTTGAATGGCTTTTCAGACTTTCAATATTCTGCTAATGGGTCTGGCAGGCTTTCACCATATGGTTACAAAGGCTATTGCTCTATTTCTTAACTGCTAGCAAATATAGATCTTAAAAATGGTTACAAAGAAAATAAAGATAGAAAATAGAAAGAATGGTACCAAGGGACAGCTTAATCTTTAAAGAGCTCTAAGTCTATGTGTACACTTAAGACAAAGGACCACATCAAGGTACAGTTTTTACCACCTTCTGTGCCTCTCAACTCCAGCGGGTGAAGCCAGAGCCGGTCCCTCAATTCCTAGGAAAGACGAATATGAGGTGGGTGTCCCCGTGGAACCTCGGGAGGTCAAACACCTAACCCGACCAGCAGACAGATGGTAGATTGACACTCAGAGTAAATGTGCTGCTGGACCCATCTGTATTCTCATAGGGGCTGTTGCTGTGTATTGCACGAAGAAAGAGTTCCTTTTCTTTGTTTTAAACCTGCTACCTATTAATTTCATTTAGTGACTTCTAGTTCTTGTGTTATGAGAACACATAAATAGCTTTTTCTTGTTCACCTTCTCCACACCAGTCATGATTTTATAGACCTCTATCATATACCTCCTTAGTCTCCTCTTTTCAAAGATGAAAAGTCGAAGTCTTTTTAATCTCTCTTCATATGGTACCCATTCCAAACCCGTAATCACTTTTGTTGCCCTTTTCTAAACTTTTTCCAATGCCAAGATAGCTTTTTTTAACATGAGAATACTTGCGCAAGAAGGCTTATCCCTGAGTGGGAGCATCAAAGTATTTGTGCAAGAACCACTGATTTTGTACAATACAAAATCAGTGCTCTTGCGCAAATCCTCGCGGCCAGTGTAGACAGGCGGCAAGATTTTGCCCCAAAGCGATTGCTTTTGCGCAAAATCTTGCCAGTCTAGACGCACCATTATGCTTTGATTCCTATCACAAGTCAATAGATGTTAAGCACCTACCCTACTCAGCTATGCATCTTTAGGCCCTTTTACAGAAGTATTTATAAAGCCCTCATCCTAGTTCAGCAATTCCTATAGGCACACATGATTTATCTCCAGGGGAGACTTGTTTAAGTTGTACAAAGTTCATTTCATAGGCAATGCTGCTTCCACATTTCCGAGAGTAATAGCAGTGCCTATGCTAATCTTATTGTTCCCTTGTAAATTATATTTCAAAGTGCTCTGTAACAGGACAAAAAACCCATATCTGTGCTTTTTTGGGGATAGTTTGATGCCTGCCTCATATTTAAAGTCTGAAAAGTGTTCAGAGGCTTTAAAAAAATCTCTGTATCACATCTTGTTTTCTCTGATTCTACAGGAGAAATTCTTAGTGGTTTGGAGTGGGAGTTCTCTTAGCCTGTAATTGAGAGGGTGGGCGGGTGTGAATCAGAAAGATCTTTTCACCTAAGTGTTTGTCAGGTGTTTTTATTAAATAGGGGTTCACAAAATGGAAGGAAAAACTTTCTTAATTACTAACCTTCCATTGTTGATTGTGATGTCATCATCCCACTAGCCCTGACAGAGGGTGTGGCTACTGGGGGTCAGGGCATGGTTAACAGGGGTCAGGGATGTGGCTAATAGGGCACCACCAAAAATTATAGAAACCTGCTGCCCCTGCCCTACTCCTATGAGCCTTTTCCTTTCCCCACTTTATTTCTTTTCTTTCCTATCCCTCTCCTTTTTCCTTCTCTCTCACATCAGTCTGGCTTAGCTGGCCAAGACCAGATATTTTTCAACACTTTTCCTTTTGTTTCTGTGTCTTTGTAAACGTTGGTTAACTCCATTTAATATTGGGCAGTTGCATGGTCACATTAAGATCTTTGGTTCTTTGGGCCCGTATATTAAGACCACAGGGAATAAACTTGTAGGGAGACACTTGTGTACAAACCCTTTTAATTGTCTGTTGTTGTTACAATATATTTGCGTACCGACAGAGAAAACGTTGTGTTAATCTGAATACAAAAGCGTAAAGCAGTTAATTGGGGAGAAACGCCTCTAAAAGGACAGACTTGTGCATGACGCAGCTTCGGGGGGGTTGTCTCAGTGGTGCTGTGGACTCCCATCTTTGGCTTTTTGGCGCCTGGCTGGCTCTTTGAGTGGGAAGGAGGTCTTGCCCTGGATACACGGCGATTGCCCAGCACCGGTGAGGTTGCGGAAGGTGACGCTGGCATCTATTACTTGATTTTATGCCCCACGACTACGACGACAATGATAATGATGATGAAAATGATTCCTACGACGATCCCGATGATGTTCAGCGTGCGGGCCGTGCGGGACGCTTGAGACGCTCTGTCCATGTCGCCAGTCCCAGAGGCATTCTCGGCCTGGAAGGGAAGCACAGCCCACCCCACCCCACCGAAAGAGTTATATTAGTGTCAGTCAAAAAGCTGCTGCATGCAGGGCCACTGACAAGGGGCGGGGCAAAGGGGGCAGCTGTCCTGGGGCTCAGACATTTATTGCTGCAATGGCAACCTCAGCAGTGGCAGAGCCTCGGGGGGGTTAAATCACCACCAAGGCCCCCAGCGGCACTGAAAGACTGGCTGAGGGAGGCTAGGCCCCAGCCCGGCCTCTCCCCGTCCAGAGTCAGCGAGTTCCCTCCTCAGCCCTGACTGTGGGTCTCCCTCTCACCCACCACATCCTTTGATTTACAGTCACGTGACCAACACAACTTCAAACACGTGAGAACGGCCATATTGGGTCAGACCAATGGCCCATCTAGCCCGGTATCCTCTCTTCTGACAGTGGCCCAGGCCAGATGCTTCTGTGGGAGTGAACAGAACAGGGTAATTACAGAGTGAGCCATCCCCTGTCATCCAGTCGAGAATCTGGCAGAGGTTTAGGGGCTCTCAGACAATGGGGTTGCCTCCCTGACCATCTTGGCTCCTAGCCATTGATGAACCTACCCTCCATGAACTTCTCCGATTCCGTTTGCACCCTGCTTCTACTTTTGGCCTTTCACAATATCCCCTGGCAGCTAGTTCCACAGGTTAACTGTGCGTTGTGTGCAGAAATGCTGCCTCACATTTGTTTTAAACTTGCCGCCCATTAATTTAATCATGTGGCCCCTGATTCCTGAGTTATGTGTGAAGGGGTAACTACCACTTCCCAATGCACTTTCTCCATGGCCATCATGATTTTACAGACCTCTGGTATGTCCTCCCACTTCGTTGTCGCTTTTCTAAGTGGAACAGTCCCAGTCTTTTTAATCTCTCCTCAGATGGAAGCTGCTCCATATCCCTGATTCGAATATATCTATTTTGCGATAAGACAATCAGAACTTCCTACAGTATTCCAGGTGCGGGTGCACATTTAGTGGCATTATGATATTTTCTGCCTTATTAGCTAAACCTAATAGGTTTCAAACATTCGCTTTTTTCCTGCCACTGCGCACTGAGCAGATGTTTTCAGCGAACTATCCATGATGACTCCAAGATCCTTCCTCCCTCATTGCACCCAGTCAGATATCCCACGATCAGCTGTTTTAGCCTTTGGATGATAGCCATTCAAAGAGATTAGCTTCCCAGCATGCTGGGAATTCTACAAATTCTGGGGGAATCCATCTCTCCTAGGTGCCGATCTGTCCCCATCATGGAAGTAACTAGAGCGCCTCACAATCACTCGTGACTTTATCCTCACAGTACCTGTGTGATATAGGGAAGGGTGATTCTCCCCATTTCACAGGTGCGGAACTAAGTCACATGGAGTCATGGGTGCAGCAGGGAATTGAATCCAAGTTTGCAGTGTCAGAAGCCAGCAGAACACTCCAGAGGAAAGGGGACTAGCTTTCCAGTGGAGGTCAAGCACATGCATGACAAGAGCTGACGGAAACTATTACAAGTTCTTGTGATTTTTTGGGAGGCCCTTTTATTTTGAACTAGCTCTATTCAGGATCTTCCTCTCACACTGTTTGCTGCCTCACACACTATGGAGGGAGTGATTAATTAAGTTGCCACTGGAGGAGGAAGGGAGAGTGAAATATTACAAAGCAGAAATTAAATCACTCAATCACCAACATAAAGCATAGGGGTTAAGAGCCTATGGGGATTTTATAAGTAATTTGTACGTGTCAATTCAACAGGCCCCAAGATTAAAACCCTGACCCTTCAAAGACTTAATGCATGCAGACAGTATCACACACCTGTGTAACATCACAGACATTAGCGGAACTACGTTTTTGTATGCAAAATTGGGGCATGGTCAGAGATAAGGAAGTACCATCTTAATATGGAACCATTTTTATTCCTCTTATTTATGAATAGCTGGCAAACAGACTGACTCTTGTTTCTCTAATGGAAGTTGTTAGGTGGGTAGTTTTGTGGTGGCCTGCTCATCTGTAAACAGCTCATAGCAGTATTGGGACTATGAGCCACCAAAATAATTCAGAATTCTGAGTTTTCTTAAGGTCAGAAGGAGCCACTCTGATATTATAGTGGCCAAAGAATTTCCCCCGGTCATTTCTGCTGAGAGAGGAAATTGCTCTTCTCAGTACATAAGCAAAAACAATTGAGACAAATAACTTCTGGCAGAAGTCAAGCAATGTCTGTTTAAAGACTCCAAAGATAATGAGTGTACCAATTCCTTTGGTAAGTTGCTCCAGAGTTTAATAACCCTCATTTCATATTTGAATACTTCTATTTGCAATAGCATCTGGTTATTGGGCCTTGTTCTGTCTCTTTCTACTAACCTAAAATACCCTTCATGTCAGATGTCTTCTTTCTGTGTAGATACTCGGGCTATGTCTACACTATAGGCTTCTTGCACAAGAAGCTTTTGGTGGAAGAGATCTTCTGCAAAAACTTCTTGCGCAAGAGCGAGTCCACACTGCAAAAGTGCATCAAAAAAGTGATGCACTTTTGAGCAAGAGAGCATCCACACAGCATGGACGCTCTCTCGCAAGAAAGCGCTGATAGCTATCCAAAGACTGGCCACCGGGGCACCCGTGCTATTTTCTCTTTCCTGTTTGTGCGCAAAAAAAAAAGCCTGTTGCCCATCCCCACACACTTTTTTGTGCAAGAACTCTTGCACAAAAATAAGTTATTCTTCATAGAAGGAGGAATACCTACATTGGAAAAAAACCTCTGTTCTTTCATTTTACATGCGCAAAAACACGCTTGAAGTGTGGATGCTCCACGAGTTTTTGTGCCAAACCTAGTAGTGTAGACCTAGCCTCAGGGAAGATTTTAAATATTATGTAGGATCTCAATGGGAATAAGATATCTAGGTGCTTTTGGAAATCCTACTAAGCAACTACCTGTATCTTTAGGCGCCTGAATCCTTTTGAAAATGTATTTTTAGAGACTATGAACATGCCACTGTGCTATAACAGAATAGTGCTATGAAGTCATTGCCAGTTTCATGAGCTGTTCCTTCCTTTAAAATCAACATATGGAAATTAAATAAGGAATATGTTTTCCTCACTCAGGAAACCCTAACAATCCACAAGGAAGGAAACCCAGGCATTCAGAAAGACTGATTCTCCTAGGAAAATAACTTGAGATTAAATATCAGGGAAAGGCCCTTAATACTTGGGAAAGAATGTGAGCTCATACCCAGCAAATTATCCTTGGCACAGTTATAATAGCAGGTGATAATATCAAGCATGAACCATGAGGAAAGAACAGAAAATGAAGACGCCTGGAAATCTCACCTCTTCCCCTCCCTGACTTTCAACCTTTCAAATGCCTTTAAACCTCTTCCCCTTCCATATCCTCCTCAAATTCCACAGCCATCTGCTTCATATTCTGCAGTAGGGAGAGGACCTCTCTCTACGCCCTGGTCCACATGAAGGAGTTATTTCAAAATAACTCCCCTTATTTTGCAATAACAAGCAGAGTGTCCACACTACCAAGCCTGTAATTTTGAAATAACGGGCTGGTTATTTCGAAATAAAAACTCTCACTTTCCACGAGGAATAACGCTTATTTCAAAACAGTTCTTTTGGGAGTTATTATTTCAGTTCAAAATAATGTCCTAGTGTAGACATGCCCCATGAATCAAAAGACAGGACTATGCAGCACTTTAAAGACTAACAAGATGGTTTATTAGGTGATGAGTTTTCGTGGGCCAGACCCACTTACTCAGATCAAATAGTGGAAGAAAATTGGCATGACCAGATATACCAAAGGGATATGATCAAAAAAAGTGAACACATATAAAATAGACAAATCAGATTTTAGAACAGAGGGGGGATGAGTGAGGAGGTTAATTGCTATGAGGGAATGATATTAGAGGTGATAATTGGGGAAGATATTTTATATGTATTCACTTTCTTTGATTGTATCCCTTTGGTATATATGGTCAGGCCAATTTTCTTCCACAATTCAATCTGAGGAAGTGGGTCTGGCCCACGAAAGCTCATCACCTAATAAACCATCTTGTTAGTCTTTAAAGCGCTACATAGTCCTGTCTTTTGTTTCAGCAAGACCAGACTAACATGGCTACATCTCTATTACTATGCCCTATGAGGGATTCTTACTCTCTAGCCTGACAGGCGAGGCTGCTGCCATATTAAATCATAATTTCTAGCAAGAAGCAGCAGATCTGGGCATGCAACTTTCCCCAGCTCCCTCTCTCCCCGCTGGCATCAACCCTGTCAGAGACCAGACATATTGGAACTGAGACCCACCCACACTCTTCCTCTTTGCTCCAAGCATTTACATGGCTAATTAAAGTGGAGGCAAACTGCACACCAGGAAATCCATGGTGGTAATGGATCCTCTGTGTATTTACCTCATTATTCGGCGAATCTCTTAAGGCAATGACTGCTTCGATACTCCACTTGGCTAATGCTCAGAAGAAAATACTCCTCAATTGGGTGTCCCGATAAAACGAAATAAACAACTTTCCAAAGGTGAAGGTTTCAGCGAGGGGAATTTGCCTGCTCTGCACATCAGTGCGCAGAAGGAATTGCCTATAGAATTCCAGATCTTTGTGAGCTGCGGAACCTAGTACAAATTATTCGCATAGAGGTCAAAATGAAATCTGTAAGAAGTACTAATGAAAGAGGTTGTGCTGATAGTAGCTGATAGCCTCTGTTCATGACCACAATGGCCACTGCACATGTCCCTTACTGTGAATCTGCTTTCAGGGTTTGTTGTGTGAAGAGAATCCACCAGAGAGAGGATTAAGTATGCACAGGTCATGCTAAAACTCACTGCAAAGTCTAATTACTCCAGGGCACAGGGTGCCAGATACCCTCTCAAGGAGATGAAAATGCTCATCCATCAGCTAATGTTTGAAACAATGGACAAAGAAGTCAGTGCTGCCTGTCACCGGGCACACAAACAGCTCACACTTGAGTATTTACAAACATAGCCTTCACTCGTGCCCAGTACCATCGACCAAACAACAGTGCAAGAGAAATGTTGTCCCCTACCAGTCAATTCACCTTTGCAAACAACAATCCCCACCCAGTCCTGAGAAAATTGCTGAAAGAAAATTGTACCGTTCCCTATAACTTCTGAGACTAGAATCCAAATGTTTAAACACCTTTGCATTCAAAATTAGAATTCACTTCTCCAAAAGGTTTGGTAGTCTCTAAGGTGCTGCAAGGCTATTGGTTGTTTTTTAAGTTTTTCTCTCTGTAACAGTCATTTTAAGACCATTTTTTTGTAAATCAACATTCTAAAATGGACCAATGGAAACAAAAAATAAAATAAAATAAACTTACCCTGAGAGAATAGACGAGAGCAGCTATTCCAAGTGGGAGGCAGCAGCACAACAAGTTAAAGATAGACAGGGCAAGGTAAGTGGGAACATTTCTTTGAGCTGTTTCCATCTTCAGAAGCTGCCTGGTGTATAGTCTCTATAGCTGAAGCTAGGAAGGCTTTGCAGAATAGTAACACTGGTTCCTCTGTTAAATCTTGCTATGGGGGAAGGGGGAGTATCTAAGGGAAACATTGCTGAGCAAAGCAAGCTCTTGCGTGTAAGGTTTACAGACTCCTTTCTCAATTCCATCCTGTCAACTACTGGTTCAGTGTGTAACCAAACCACTTGCCAGTTTCAACTTAAATTTCTGTGATAAGTCTAGTAGAACTTTCAGACTGAACTCATGTGTGGGGTGTGCACCTGGACCGCCAATAAATGCTTGATACTGTAAAACAGACCCCTGTTCATCCAGGAGGAAACAATTAAGCTTTCTGATGATCTAAAAAGTGGAGCTGTTCCGAAAAACTTCAACTGAACCATTCTCCATTAGCGACGGCAGTTCCCTCAAAAGTGGAATGCCTTGCCAACTCTCGACTTCACAGGCAGTTCATTTTGGAGAAAAAACAGAGGAGGAAGGGGAAACTTGTCCCATTTCAACAGTGGTAGAACAAACTCTTTTGAGCTTGCATTTCAGTCTTTTTTGGCTGTTTTGTATTAGATGATATTTGAGCCAATACATTTAAAAAGTCAATGTCAAAACAAAATGTTGCGAGTGGTCACATCAAAATGTTGCCATCGCTAGGCAATTATTTCTTCCCCCTCCCAGAATTTGCTTTTGTGGAGACTTTCAGAATTGGAATGAAATTTTAACACCTCTAACCCCCTTTGCAAAATGGAATTTCCCTCCTCCTCACAGACCTAATAACAAGCAGTCTACTGGAGCTTTTTCTCTAGATTTCCCCCCCACCCCGGTTTACAAAACCAACTTCCATCTGTGGCTTGAGGTTTTGGGGGGGGGAGCAGAGGCACACTTTGTAATCATCTGGGAATGATCAGTTTTGCCCCAGGCTCTCAGCTCAAGCAACCACAAGTTATTTACTAGATTATTTACTAGATATTTTAGAGAGTTTTTGTATCAGTCTGACGGGCTGCCTGTCAATCCATCTGTGAGTCTGTTAATTCAAGAACTCCTCCTAAATTGTAAGATCTAGGACCATCAAATTCAGTATAGAGCTTTCTCTTGTCATAGTTTAAAGCAGGGTGAGGGGTTGGTTGTCCCAGGACAATGGGATGTCCATGAAATGCAATTGCTTCCCATCAAATAGAAATGGAAGGGTTTGATAGAAGGGACAGTTATACTCCCATATGTCCACAGGGGGCAGCAAATTCCCCAGTCCTACGGAGTAGCCACTGGCCGGCAACACAGCCCCAGCCACCTCGGCCTGAGCTGCTGGGCCACCATGGCACATGGCCCCCAACACCATGGGCTGCCCTGTGGAGAAGCCACAAGGTAAGTTTTCTGGTTGTTTATATTACAGTGGTATCTAGTGGGTTCAACTGAGAACAGGGTCCATGCTGCACAAACACATGATAAGAGCCAAGCCCTGCCCCAAACAGCTTCCAATCTAAATAGACCAAACAAAGGGAGGGAAGAAAGGAAATATTATTGTTCTCATTTTACGGCTGGAAAGCCGAGGTGGCAAGAGATTAAATGACTTGTCCAGGAAATCTGTAGCAGAGCAGATACCGAAAAAAGCTCTGCCGAGTTCCTGTTAAGCACCTCACCCAGCAAATCATGACTCCCCTCCCACTCGGTCACCATCGCTTAAGTTATATAACCCACCTCCTCCTCCAGGTCCGTTCTGCTGCGGACTAGTCCCTATGCCCTTGAGGAGGGACAGAAGAGCTTCCCAACTGCTGAACAGCAGGAAGAAAAAGGCAGCCGAGATGAGAACAGCGTGCCTTGCTCCCGTGCCAGGACTGGTGTATGTTGAACTGTAGCAGCACAACTTTATGCAGACGCTACCAAGAGATGTCAAGCGATTCTAACTGTAGTTTGTCGGCGTTCCTGTGGTTTATGGGGCTGGCTCCCCCTAAGGCTGGCACTGGCCAAACTATGCACCTGTGGAGGTCAAGCTGGGTGTTGCGCTCATTGTGCAGCTGAGCCGGCAGTAGGTTTATATTGGAGAGGCAACCAGAGTCAAACTGCTCTTCCTCCCAGGTGACCCCGGGGCTCCCCCGGGGCTAGCTAGGAAGAAAGAACATTCCCGACTCTGACATGTGTGAGTCATTCACTGTGCGCCGGGTGCCAGCCTCAGCAGAACCACTGTGGCCCGTGTCCAAACAAAGCTGACAAGTCCCATTGTCTTTCAGAAAGCAACAACAAATCCTACAGACACCGCACCTGCCCGCCCCCTGCACTTCCTCAGGCCTTCAGCGAATTGACCTCAGGACCTAGCGCCTCACTGGCTGGCTGCCCGAAAATCACACTTAGGAACGGATGCCAGGGCAGGCACTGCGAGTGCATGACTCTGATGCCCACTGTGTGACGCGCAGCACACGCAAGCGCTAGTTTGGCTTAAACGCCACTCGACTGGCATGAGAGGAAGTTGCAAAATGGCTCGCAGCTCAGACGGACATTACAGAGCAATCACTACACATAGGCATGGGGCCAATCTCACAGCCCTGGCTTTGGCAAGCTCAAGAAGGCAGAGGTGAAAGTAATTGCCTGATTCGTTAGGGATCCTTGACAAGTTGCAGGAGTGGTGTCTTGGGGCCCTGGAAGGCACAAAGCCTGAGACAGAAGGGTGGGTCTGGGGCAGACTTCCCCAGCCAGAAGCAATTTGAGTGGCCCGGGGCTCCCAGCTGCGGCTGCTGGAGCCCCGGACCCTTGTAAATCACTAGGCTCCAGGGCAGCTGGCCCTTTTGATACCCTTCTCCTTCCACCCCTCCCCCCCAACCCTTCCCCGTGTCAGCAGCACTGTACTTTAGTTTTGGCCATGTATGGGCCAGAACCAGACACGGGTTCTCACCAGGATGCTGTATTAGCCCATCTCAGCCCATCTTCACCTGTGCAAGGTCCGTGGTCTTCTGATCTGAAGAAATTCCTTTGGGAGATATGTTGTTTAGAACAGTGTGAGATGGAGTCTTCTGAGGCTGAACTCAGACAACACAAAGGGACTGTGGAGATCTGTTGTGTTTAGAAGTTCGGCGGGCCTGGCTGCAAGATTCAACATCACAGGAACTGGCCGCTAGCCACTATATTCTTGTCTGATGCGTTGCAGTCCAGATTCAATTTCCACAGCAACTTTTACCCCAATGTTTTAAGCAAGCTGTACATGCCGTGCGACTGAATTCCAGCCAGGCGACCCTCCATCATAGAATCATGGAATACTAGAACTGGAAGGGACTTGAGAGGTCATCAAGTCCAGTTCCCTGCCCTCATGGCAGGACCAAGCAGGACCAAATACTGTCTAGACCATCCCTGATAGACATTTATCTAACCTACTCTTAAATATCTCCAGAGATGGAGATTCCATAACCTCCCTGGGCAATTTATTCCAGTGTTTGACCACCCTGACAGTTAGGAACTTTTTCCTAATGTCCAACCTAAACCTCCCTTGCTGCAGTTTAAGCCCATTGCTTCTTGTTCTATCCTCAGAAGCTAAGGAGAACAATTTTCTCCCTCCTCCTCATGACACCCTTTTAGATACCTGAAAACTGCTATCATGTCCCCTCTCAGTCTTCTCCTTTCCAAACTAAACAAGCCCAGTTCTTTCAGTCTTCCTTCATAGGTCATGTTCTCTAGATCTTTAATCTTGTTTCTCTTCTCTGGACTTTCTCCAATTTCTCCACATCTTTCTTGAAATGTGGTGCCCAGAACTGGACACAATACACCAGTTGAGGCCTAATCAACACAGAGTAGAGCGGAAGAATGACTTCTCGTGTCTTGCTCACAACACTCCTGTTCATGCATCCCAGAATCATGTTTGCTTTTTTTGCAACAGCATCACACTGTTGACTCATATTTAGCTTGTGGTCCACTATAACCCCTAGATCCCTTTCTGCCGTACTCTTTGCTAGACAGTCGCTTCCCATTCTGTATGTGTGAGATTGATCGTTCCTTCCTAAGTGGAGCACTTTGCATTTGTCTTTATTAAACTTCATCCTATTTACCTCAGACCATTTCCCCAGTTTGTCCAGATCATTTTGAATTATGACCCTATCTAGTGTGTTCACAATTTAAAAAACTGGGTTCCCCACTTCACCAACAAAATGCAGCCTCTTCTGGAGAGGAGCATGATCATCTGAATCCTGCATAATCCTGAAGAGAAGGGAAAATGTTGGCCAAGGGTAGTTGGGCACTGCCTCCATGAAAGTGCCCATCAGAAACACCAAGTCAAGCAGGTCAACGGGTTTCAAGCAGGAGGAAACTTGCCGACATTTGCAGCCAGACCCCCTTTGAACTAGGAATTTGTGCTAGTGCAGCTCCTGAGGGCTGAGGAAAGCCTGAGGAATATCTTTGTGATGGAATCTGTTGCGAGGATTGTTGGGCCCTAAAGACAAAGGACCACTCTATAGGAATGTAAAGAGTTTATTGATTATGTCAGTACGAAACAGGAAGGGGAGGGGAACTCACTCACGCTACCAGGCAAAGCTAGCAGACACACTCACAGTTCAAGGCAGTATACCAGCGTCAACAGACACCACTGCATGCCGTCTTCCCATGACAACTCCTGAGCTGGTTCGCTGGCCAGGCAATCCGAGCAGAGGGCACCATTGGGAAGTTCTGCTTAATGGTCGATGCCCTCCACTGTTTCCCTCTCTCTTTTATGGATTGCTGCTTCATTCCTTATTTGGGCATGCCGATGTGCCATCTATGCTGTGTGTGGATCTGTTGTGCTCATGTCCTTTTCGTGCTCTCGTGCCCACCACAAGTATGCTTCTGCATTCACACCGGAAAGGGGGAGAGAGTTGACAAATGTAAAAAAAAAGCATAGCAGGATGCCAGGTTAACCACAGACACTGGTTCTGCTTTACAGACAAAATCAATTAATGGAACAGGTCTAAACATTTGAACGTTATAATAAGAACAGTTTAACATTCTCAGCCCTGTACGGTTCATGACTTTCCTTCATCCCCAACACTCTGCCCCTTGATCTAATTGATGGTTCCAATAACCGAAGTCGTTGGAGAGCGAAGGTAACCTGTTGCAAGCGGACCACCCTCTTTACCAGTCCGCAGGCGTAACAGCATAACCAAAAAATTATTACAAAACCCATAATTAACATTAACAATAAGCCTACAATGGGGTGGATCAAAAGGCACAGGAAAGGTTTTGCGGATCCTGACCACCCCTTAAAAATATCCCACCAATGGTGTTGTGTTATTTCAATCATTTCATTTCCGATTTCTATTAACTGTGTTACTTGCTGCATAATGTGGATCTCCCAGGTCTATGAGTCACGGGCTACGCATCTGGTGATCGCATATGCCCCAGACACGTCCTGAATCAACTTGGACCATACAGTAAAGTTAATCCTTGGTGGACAGGGGG